GGGGGGGGAAGAAAAAAAAAGAATAAAACTATTACTGAAGGTGGCAAGAGTCAGAGTGTGCGTGGGGGGGATGAAAAGAAACCATTTGCAGGTTTTGTTCAGTTTTTCAATGGGGATAAAGGCCCAAGGAGGGGATTTGGGACCGGGAAAGTAAAAATTTGACTCAAATACTGTGAGGAAAGGGCCATATGACCCCAGTTCCTCTTCTTTCCGCAATTAAACCACACCGAAAGGAGCTCAACTAAAAATATTGATATTTTCCATGTCAGCCGTTGCTGGAATTGCCTATGGGAGCAGAGAGGGGTTCCGGAGAGAGACGGGATTCCTGTGATGACGGATGCCAAGAGTCTCCTGGTCCAGCCGCGACGCTCCAAGATCCGATCGGGAAAACCTGCCGCCTCGAAGCTCATCCAAGGTTGATTAACGAGCCCAGATCATCACGAGTGATTAACACTACCGTGCTGCAAAAAAAACCAAACCCAACCACACAACACCAACCCCACGCTCCTGGTTTGCAGGCTGCCAGCGTTCGGGAGAGGAGGAAGGGCGGGAGCACCTCGGGGCGAGGGATGTTCTGCAGTCCCCAAAGCTCGTTCGCCGACGCCGATGGATACACCGCCCTCGGTCCAGCTCCCACTAATGAGTTTTGTTTCGCCTCCCGTGACTCCGGCATCACCTCCCATGCTCCTTGATCCCCATCCGATGCGCTGCCGGGCTGCTCCTCCATCGCAGCTTGTCCAGGCGGAGACCGAAAATAGCAATTCCGGAGCGACGAAAGGTTTGATTTCCAGATATTCAGAGCAATTAGTAATTACCAGGCAAGCATCCTGCAGAGTTCGTGATCCTCTGGGCATCCTATGGATTTAGTGATCGCTCCTGAAAATCTCACATGGATGGAAGGGCTCCAGGACCGAGTAACTCGGAGGATGCTCAAAATTTCCTCTGCATATTTCTTCCTCTCTACGAACTGCTTTACCCACATCCCTCGAGTTTTTGGGAGGAGGCTGGTTGAAATAAGTTGCCTTTAAAATAGAAAAGAGAGCCAAAAGCGGATCCTGACAAAACCTCCCAGATTTTCGAGGTATCAGAGGTGTCAAATACGGAGATGCGGGATTATTTCAGCAGCCGGACAAGGAGAGGGAATGATATGCAAGAAGGAATAAATATATATATATAGGGAGAGACCTCCGGGCTAAGCAGCAGCCCACCGGGCATCGGAGAAGCATCCCGACCCCGTCCTGGTTGATAACGGGTGTATTTAAGAGTGGCTCACAGCACGTGAGATAAAGCCAGAAAAATATAATCGAGGAATAACCGAAAGAGCCCATTTTATTCCGTCGCAGCATCCAGCGCCTCCTGGGAAGGCGACGCCGGAGCGCAACGGCGGCTGGAAGGAGCCAGGCTGCAATTTCGTATTCCTCCCGGCTCTGGAGATAAGGATGGCTCTCGGCAGCGATTTACATGGGAAAATGTCTCACCCCGGGGTGAAACCCACCCCAAAAGGGGCTCCTCCTCTGGCAGTCGCCCCTCCGCTCGCCTCTCTCCCTCGTTACCCATTACGCAGCAGGATGAGCATCGCCGCGATGACACGGCAGCATCGCTGCGGAGCATCACGCCGCGACGTCGGGGAGGGGTGGGGGGACGCGCCGAGGTGCCCAGCACCCCCCGCCTGCCACAGCCCCGCGGTTGTGCAGAACGAAACACCCTTCGATGCTCCCCGAGAAGCGGAAAAGCAGCTCCCACCATCGCCCCAAAGTCCTCCTGGCGCGCCCGGCGCAGCCCCGACCCCCCCGAG